TCTTCGTTTTCTCCACATAAAATGCAGCTATCATCTTGGGGTAGATTTAACCCTCTTGCAAGTAAGTTGTCTTTGGTGGTGAGGTGATGGAGCAATAGGTCATATGCAAAAGCACTGACTTTTAAAGGAGGTAGGCTTCTTGTAGGAGTTTCTCACCTAATTTTTTTTTTCTTTATCCAGTATCTTATTTAAAAATGTAATTTAAAAATATAATATTTAATTTTAGTAATTTTAGTTTTACTTTTTAATTTTTTGATTTTTTATACAAAAATTTCATATAAAAAATTATAATTTATATGCATAACAATTTAAAATATTTTTTTATACAAGTGTAATTCTTGTTGAATATTTTTATTTGATTAAAAAAAATTAATTATTATTTATATAATATGTTAAGTTTTTATTTAAAATTAATGTTTAAAAAATCAAATTCAGATCACTAAAATTGAATGGATATAATAATTATTATTTAATTTTAACTAATTTATTATATAATTTTAATAATTTTAATTAATATTTTATATATTTTTAAAATAATAAAAGACTATAAAACTAACAATACAACTACACAACATAAATACAACACTAATAAATAAAGCATAATTCAATTCCCAATCAACTTAAACGATTGATCATCCAAACAAAGAGATATTAAAGAGACGAGGAAGTACTTGTGCCAACGAAGTGCACCAATCCAGTGTATGAAGCCAAAATTTGATCCTAGACCCATCATATATACATTTTCCACCTAAAACCCTCATTGAAACAAAATATGTGACTTCTCACTAACACCCACAGTGGACAAAATATCCTCCCAATATACTGAGATCCTCGAATGTAAAGTATTTGTGATAGAAAAGGACTGCACCCATCCTCCGCATAATATATATTTTCTCAAAATAACTTTTTTTCCAAAGTTTGTCATCTTCAACTTCTTTGATAAACCCATCTCATTACTTCCCAAAGAGACTAATGTTTTTAATTAACAAATCTGGTATTACCAAGACCCCCATATTTTTTTTAGGCAAACTCTCTCTCAATTGACCCCCGCTATTTTATGCTTTTATATCCTCATTACCTCGAAAGAAACTTTCTTAGAATTCTCACAAAATCACTCAAAATGTCCTCGGGAAGTTTGTAAATAGAGAAATAAAAAAGAGGAAGAGCAAAGAGAACAGAGATAAGAAGTGTAAAATACGACTTCCAATGGACAAGACCTTCCCCTTCCAGGCTACCAATTCCGAGTTTAACTTCTCCAAAACAGGCTTCCAAAAGCTTAGAAGGTGTGGGTTGCCTGTAGACCAAGATAACAATGGAAGTAATGCACCAGGTTTACAATTCAGGGCGCTTGCTGCTAGCTAGATTCATCCAGCCATCTTCAACATTAATGCCATTTAAACTGCCTTTGCCAAAGTTTGTTTTAAGCCTTGAGGCAATCTCAAACCATCTCATCCTGGACTTGAACGCCATGGTACAATATGGACTCGCTTCCCCAAGGCTAATAGTGTCATCTGAAAATTAAAGATGCGAGAGTGATGAGTCTGCATTGATATGAATCCCATGGGGTAGGTTCTTAGATTCAGCTTCCATTAATAAAGCATGTATTAAACTAAATTATTTCTTAGCAGAAAGAGTTTTTTCAATTCACCTTCCAAGGAAAAAAATCAGTTGGACGTCTGAAATGACAAAATTAATCTTGCTTCTTCACTAATTCATCGAGGATATGTTTGATCTTTTCACAGCCTTCGAATTAATGTTATTTCATATTCTGCATCTCTATTTTTTAAACACTCTAATAAAGCTCCCTCTCTAGATCTCACTGCTTTTGGTTTTGGTGCATGAGTGAGCTCCCACTCTTAAATTTTAATAAGCATAGATTTTGCTTAGTAACTTCGGTTTGGTTTGAAAGTACTGCCTTGTATAACTGTAATTATAGTTTTAAGTAATTCTTTTTTAAATATCGTAATAATATATAATATATATTTAATATTTATTTTTATTAATATTTTATATATTTTTAAAGTAATAAAAGATAAAAAATCCAAAGCTAAAGCAATAGAGAAACATTTTTAAAGAAATCTTAGTATGGTCATCTGATGGATGACTTGAATATTGTCA